TTGAATGACGAATACACACTACCGCCGCCTGCTGGTAAGGAGAGTTATTGCCACTCACGCACTGAAGTCTTTGCGGTGTGTTCCGTGCGACACATGACCAAGACGCAGGAGAACACGGCGACGCAACAGCCGGGGTCGGCGAGTCCTCTGGTGACTGCTTGGTGTGTCAGGGCCTTTAGCTGTAACCTGTTTTCTTGTATTTGTGGCCGCAGCTGTGATTGGTCTGTGTTTCTCGAGTCTTGAATATGATTGGTTCAGCAGACGGTTGACGGGTGAACGTGGCTCAACCACAGGCCAGCACGTGAAGCTTCACCGTCATGCGTCAAGTCAGTAGGAACCAGGCGGAGCGAGAGAGGAATTCAGCGGAATGCGCTTTCAAAATAAAAGCAGGAAAGGGCTTGAATGAAGTAGACACAGTAGTGAAAGATGCAATTTTAGAAAAATAAACGTTATTTACTGTGTATTACTTCCTACATGTTAATTGTTTACTCAATCCCCTTGTGTTACGCAGGTATAGTAAAGTGTTGTTCAACGAGAATTTTACTTTGAAAGTTTTGACCGGAGATGTACAACCTGTAGTGTATTTGAATGTAAACTGCGAGTGCTGATCATAGATGAAATATTAACATGTACACGGTAAAGTATTGACAGCTCGGCGGTCATCAGCCCGCTGTGGAGCTCCTGTCAGGTAAGACATGCCGCTGCCGTCCGATGAACACACTCCACAGCGACATTTAACAATATAGTTCATGTTTGCTCATCTGTCATTTAATAACGCAATGCTCAGAACTGCACTTAAAATTGCAAATGCAAGTAATATGTCGGTAATGTCCCAGTCGATCCGTAATGAATTCATAAACAACAAAAATAAAGAAGAACATGACGCAGGTGCTCACAGGGGGGCACAGGTGGGCTGCAGGCTGACCACCTGTCTGTCGCTGTTTGGTATTTAGGCTGCCTCTGTCAGGTAAGGGAAGGGGAGAGCCTAAAGATGGCTTCCTAAATGTAGTGGAGTAAAGTATAAAGTAGCATAAAGTGAAAATACTCAGGTAAAGTACAAGTACCTCAAAATGTACTTGTACTTGAGTACAGAAGGCTACTTAAGTAAATGTACTTAGTTATCTCTTGCAGCCTAGTCTATGGCAGACTGAGACAATAATTCAGGCAGGGAGTTTGAATCTATCCCAGTGAAGCCAGTTTGCACGGCACAAAGCACCAGACTAGCTGATGTAACGGGTAGGCCTACCAGTCTGGTTAATGATTTGTTCATCTAGTAGGAAAGTTATCCAGATTGCAAAGTACTGGGATGTGTGTCTGACCAACAACTATACTCATTCTGAAAACTGAGGTTTTCAAGGTATGTGTGAACTCTTAAAAACGAACTAGTAATATCATTATAATAGGACTTACAAAAGGCTACTTACACAAACCAGCTAGCCTAGAGACACAAAGTTCAAACAAGTATATTTTATTCAAGCATCAAACAAGTGTCAGAAGCTGCACACAGATAGCTATCAGTGGCTGTTCATGATGCCCAGGCCTAGAGCCACCACTGAGTATTTCAACAGTCTTTTTAATACTCACATAAAACCGTTATTAATTTGCCTCAATTTGAAAATATTACAATATAAAAAATAACTGCAAATATCCAAACCTTTCAATGACTCAAAGTGTCATTTTCAATTTCCATTTTGACGTGATCTCAGGAGAACCCTGAAAAACAGCTACACCTGCACTGTCACGATTTTAGTATAGTCTTGTCTTCCCCTGTGCTCCATGTCGGTTCGTTGTCTTTCCTGTCACCCTCCATGTTTGTCACTGTCGGTTCTTGTCTGGATGCTCATGCTACGTATTTATGGATGTTAGGTTTTTTCTTGTTTGTTTATCGTCTACAGCTTTTTGGTAAATAAAGCTCGCCTTTGGTTATTTGACCTTTTTGTCTTTTTAAAATTGCATCTGGGTCCTGCCTTACCTCAAATCCTGACATGCACTCACTAAACACACATTATGCTGCACGATTATGGCCAAAATAATCACAATTATTTTGAACAACATCATGATTAAGTTTTGTTTTTTTTAAATAAACAGAGCTCTGCTTGTGTTATGCTGCAATTCTGCCAATGTAACATTTATGGCTACAACTTATTAGGAAAAACTAACAATGCAATAATACATTTTCTGCAATATCTGCTGGAATATGCAAAATCACTTGACTAATTACAGAAATCAACCTAAGTTTTTCAATTTAAAGTTAAAGGATCAAATCTGGTGCACTTTGAGATCAACATTAAGAGGGTATAGAATCATGTGCTCCTGTGAACAGTTTAACATAACCCTGATTATTTGTAATTCTTAAATATATAACATTGCGTGCCAAAACCATGTTAAAATTAATAAATGTATCAAAAAATTGATAAACTTTGCAAAAACGCTTAGAACACTTTTGTAATTGTTTTTTAAACTTTTTTGTAATAATTCAACGGGGAAGGTTTCATGCAGATCTGAACCATGAAGTGATCTAACTGTGACTGGCATAACATGTCTCTAGGAAAAGGGCCCAACATGGCCCCTCTGTTAATGAGTGGGTGCATCATTCCCAAAAAATAACTAGCACTCTTTTGAGTGTATTTAATAACACTAGTAAAAGTAGTAAGATTAATAAGAATGAAACAAATATATGCTAATGAATGAATGCCCAGCACTTTATGAGTTGATAATTCAGTTGAATGGAAAATGCAATTGTATTACTTGTTTGGTTTATTAAATGACCTTAACCAATGTTACGTATGTATTTTACGTTGGTTTCCTGAGAATGCGCTCCTGTCTAATCACACTGCTTATATAACTGTCTGTCCTGCTAGGTTTGTAATATGGCCTCATGGATTATTCATGTGACTATGATGGTGCTCTCTGTGTTCATCAGTAGCAGCCAGGGGAAGAGGGACCAGCAGCTCTACTGCTCCGGTGAGTCACTCATCCCTAAAGTACTGAAGATGCTGCTGTTGTTCAAAAACATTTGAATTCAATCCCGTGATTTGAAGGGTAACAGAAGTGTCTGTCCCTCCACATTTACTGCCTTCTGCTGTTACTTAGCATTAATAAAGGAGGTTAACTTGTCAAATAAAAACAATTGAGAAGTAAGGAGAATAAGTGTACGGCTGGACCAGGGCTGCTGGACCTCAGGTCTCTTATTCATCATTTCCTCGCTCCTCAGTCCTCTCTCTCAACGGAAGTAGATTTTGTGCGCCATCTTAAGGAGCGTCCCATGGCGCTTATTTGTGCCGGAGGAGCAAGGAGCGATAACCAAGGAACCACCAGACCAGGGAAGTCCTCAGGCACTCACCCCGCCCTCTCTCTCTGTGTATCGCTCACTGATTGGAGGCTGCAGTGCACCACTGATCAGATGCTTCTTAACATGCGACCAGTTAACAGCAGAGTGAAGATAATACATTAAACTCAGTGGAATCACTCCTCAGTTTATAGTGTTTTGTTTCATGAATATATCATCTAGTTAAAAATGTGATATATCTGAACAACAAATTGGACAAAAAACATTTTATTCATTTGTTGGAAAAATGTGTCATGATGTCCAATTAATTTCTATTATGAACACTATAAAATAAAAAGAGATTGAATGTCTGTCAGCAGGAACAGCTTTTTTCGTTTTACATTTTTATTTACTGTCATTTCCATTCAGTCACAGCTGAGACATGATTGACGGGATTTTGCTCAGTTTAAAAGCCAAGTGCCATTACTTAATGTTGATTGTTATGCCTACAACCATGGCGTTACGATAATGCAACATCTGTTCACATTTATTTAACACACAATATTTATGCAGAGCTGGCTGCTGACAGACGATCAGCTGTGCGGCGTCATCACAAACGGACGCCGCTTCACGTGACGCTCAGAGGAAAGGACGACCCATTGCTCTTAAAACTCATTTCCTTGCTTCTTATCACTTCTCGTGGTTTCCTTGCGTTTTAGTCCCTCCCACCAGGGATGTATGGAGAGTCGCAAGAGGAAAATAAGATTGAGGGAAGCAGGGATGCAGGTTAAGAGAAGTGAGACGCAGCTGAGATTGTAGTGATAAACCAGCCGTGCATCCAGCATGCTGCAGTCGCTCCTGTTGATTCGTACTATTTTCACCTTTAAGCTTTCTTATTTTAGCTTACTTGTTATTTAGTAAAATAGTAAATACTATTCGTAATTTATTAAGCTGTTCCCTCTTTAAAAGTCATTGTGAAGAGAGATCTGTTTGGGGTTAATATCACGCTAAAGCTGGCTAGCCGTACGTTAAATAAAACTGGTTGTGGGTGACATTGGGATATTTTCTTTTTAAATCCTCTGGAGCAGAGAGAGGAGCTGTGGATTATTGTTATTGATTAATGCATCAGTGTTTCTTAGGGTCAAAAACACTAAACTCACAACTTAGAGTGTTTAGTTTATGTAATAAAAGAGCACATGTTCAATGTGAAAAGTGACAGTAGATATAGATGAGTTGCAATTTGGTGCTAAAAATATTAATTTAAAAAAAATGTAAAACATTTTTTTATTTTTTTAACAACTTGAATTTCAGGGGGGGCGCGGGGCTCCGTTGACAAGACAATGGTAGGGGAAACACTGCGTCAGAAACTCATGAGGTGTATGAAGTGTATGAGTGCATTGGACTCACAGGGTTGCAGTGTCAGACGTCTTTGTCCTAAACAGCTTAAACATGTTAGTCAGTATCATTTATTAACAGTAACATTTAGTACCCTTCAGTCAACACAAATATCCCTTTAACTTTCTATTTAAGGAACCTACTAAACAAAATTCAATTCATGACAATAAGCAGTTTGTTGCCATCACTGAGGTTTACCTTCGTTTCCCAGCATGCAAGGCCATTGCTGACGAACTGAACTACTCGATCAGCCAGATTGACCCAAAGAAAACCATCAACGTTGGCGGCTTTAGACTCAACCCTGACGGAACCATGAAAGACAAAAAGGTAAAGTAAACTGATGTGTCCCCCCCTGTCCGCTCTCGGTACATACACACAGTGGAGAGCCGCCAGGGCCCTAGGCCCTCTCTGAGGGCCTAAGATATTCTACAAAATAATGTTTAAAAACATTGAAAACATATATTTATTTTAATATATTTTTTTAAATATTTAAAATATATATTTTTCATTAGTTTTACCGAAATAACTTGATTTAATTGTATTTAAAATAACATTTCCAAATAAATAAATCCTTTGAATCTGCCCATTCAGTTTCTGTTTGAATGTGAAGGGTTTAATGAAAGAAGCTCCTTTAGCCGTCTCTGCAAGTTACTGTGAAGATAGGAGCTGATTGGTGGTCCTGCTGTAAATTCACAGAGGGCCCA